GGGATTTCACTGCATTTCACGTAGAAACGCTGACTTTTGCTTGTAGAAGTTTAGTAAGTATCTTCCATTTTGTCAAGACTTAACAACAATACTACATCTTAAAGTAGTCATCTGTGAAAGAATTGTCTCGCCACTTCCTTAAGAATTCTTTATTTTTTATAAAATGTCCTTTTTTAGAACTTTATGACACATTGTTGCCCCTTAGTTGTAAGAATATACTTATTTTAATGATTTTGTTGTCTGACTAAACTGAGAACTGGGCAATAAATAGTTACATTTGAGTAATTAATCTTAAAATATATGTCAAGAATGATCAAATAGTTCATGTTGGTTTAGAGAATACATGAGGAATCGAATACTCTGAAACGCATTTCAAACGATTTGCCTATTCAAAATCAAAGCAAAAGTATTCTATTATGTCTTTAAAAATGACAGAAAATTTTGCATGCCTAGCTTTACGACTTTGTTCCATTGCCTAATTTTGGAATGTAGAAAGTAAAGTCCATAGTTTGTCGGGGTTACGGACGTGTGGGGGTGTAGGAAATCTCGTATTTCATCCAGCATTGGAGAATACGTTCGAGAAACGTTGAACATTATCATCCAGTAGGTCCTATATGACCAGGGATGGGGGCGTTGGAACTGTGGGGGTGTAGGAAATCTTGTATTTCACCCGGCGTCGGAGAATACGTTCGAGAAACGTTGGTAGGATGTTGACTTGTGACATACAGATTTCTTGCTGTGATGGTATTCCCATACTAGGCAAACAAAGAACAAATATGTAGTAACAACGTTTCTATCTATTTGCATATTCATTGTAATGAGTGCCAAACCTCTATTCATTTTGTATTTTATAATCTAGGCTATATAGTCACTTTTTATAGAGGTAATAGGTAACAGATTAATCATTTGTCATTTGGTTTTATTATCTTATCAATTGTCTCCGAAAGTCAACCGAACGGTCGGAGAGTATCAATCATCCACGGAACACTGACGTCAAAAAGACGTTTGGATATCGTCTAAACGTTCGAGAATCGTTTTACTTTTACGAAACTGTATCATTCGTGTTTGACCAAGCAGAGCTTCTCATCCGAGAAAATTCACACTGACCTCACTCCGGAAGTCAAGCGAGCAAACAGTTCATCAGTCATCCACGGAAGTCAACTTTTGCGTCACTAAAACGTTCGGAAATCGTATGAACGAACGGGAAACGCAGACTTACGTCCCTAATCGTCTGAGGTCAAAGTTCTTTAGGAAATCCCGTATTACGTTCGAGAAACGTTGGGGAATCCCGTATTACGTTCGGGTAAGACGTCACTAAACTGTAGGTTCCAGTCTCCAGTCTCCATGCGGCCCCTTTACGTTTAAACCGTGGGTAAGGCGTAGGCGTACGTAGGCGTAACATTCGGTAATCGTCTGGGGTCAAAGTTCGTGCCTGATTTGGTGCCTAAAATTGCATTATCATTTACTCGGACTATTACTACTGTCTGGTATTATCTCGCAGCAGTCTGTTTATATCTTGCCGCAGTCTGGTATATTCTCGCGGCAGTCTGATATGATCTCCCGGCAGCCTGGTAACATCTCGCAGCAGTCTGGAATCATCTTGCAGCAATGTGGTTCTCCCGGCTGTCTAGTATTATATCGCAAAATGTCTGGTATTATCTCTCTGCAGTATGATGTTATCTCGCATTAGTCTGTTATTATCTTGCGGCAACCTGGTATTATCTCGCGGCAACCTGGTATTATCTAGCGGCAGTCTGATATTACTTCGTGGCAGTCTTGTATCATCTCGCGGAAGTCTGGTATTATCTCACGGCAGTATGGTATTAAACCACTGCTTTCTGGTATTATCCCGTGGCAGTATTGTATCATCTTGCGGCAGTCTGTTAACATCTCGCGACTGTCTGGTATTAACTCATGACAGTCTGGTATCATCTCGCAGCAGTCTGGGTACATCTCCCAGCAGTTTGGTATTATCTTGCAGCAGTCTGGTATTAGCTCCCGGCAGTCTGGTATTATCTCGCAGCCGTCTGGTATCATCTCGTGGCAGTCTGGTAACATCTCCCAGCAGTCTGGTATTATCTTGCGGCAGTCTGGTATTATCTCCCGGCAGTCTGGTATTATATCGCGGCAGTCTGGTATTATCCCGCCGCAGCTGGTAACATCTCGCGGCAGTCTTGTATCATTTATCGGCTGTATGGTATCATTTTGTGGCAGTCTGGTATTATCTCATGGCAGTCTTCTGTCATCTCGCGGCAGTCTGGTATCATATCACGGCAATCTGGTATCATCCCACACCAGTCTGGTAATACCTTGTGGCACTCTACTCAACCAGACTTTCATGAGGAAATACCAGAGTGACGCAATATAATACCAGACTACCATGAGATAATACAATACAGCTGGACATAATACCAGACTGCCCTGAGATAATACCGGACTGCCATGAAATATTACCAGACTGCCAGTAGATGATACCGATGTCTGCCGCAAGATAAAGAATATAATATATAGACTGCTGCAAGATGGCGTCAGACTGCCTAGAGATAATACCAGACTGCAGCAAGATGATATCAGGCTGTTTGGAGTAAAGTATTACGTTTTGGCAGTCTTATATATAGAAAATTGACCGACCTTGCAGAATATTGCAGTATACTTTTGATGTATAGATCATGGGATGTGTGGTCAGATTCGCTATGAAGGAAGAGGCAGTAACTATAATAGAATAACGTTGTATAAATCTCCACTTCCTTTGAAGATCAAGTGTCCAGGACACTGTTCTTTGCTCTGCTTTGGAATTACCTCTGCCCATAAACTGACAATATTCGGTATTTGTATTGAAGTATTCTTGTCATACAAATGTACAGATCCATTTACTTCTTCCTGCAATCAAATACATTTTACTAAAATTCAAGAAAAATCAAAATCAAATAAGTTCTGCAGTTATTGTATTGTAAGAGTTGTTTTGACTTAGTTATTTTTGAATGTGTTTTAATTCATCTATTTCAACAAATTAATCATTCTTACCTTTTAAATTGTTGCGATTCCTTTTAAACTACAGTGCATAGGATTCAAAAATGTCCATCAACTGTCTTTGCAAATATTATTTTCCATTTTGAGATCGTACATGTTATAACTTTGTGAACGACAGTTGAAATGCAAAACTTTGTGTAAATTCAAGCACTAAAGAAAACAACTATTTGTTTCGCTTCATGCCCCCAGGGTCGATTACTGGTTCGTTAATTTCAATTTGATGGTATACATGTGTGTATTCGGTTGTATTCTGCTGCAATTCGGAATGCGTTTGAATACAATGCAATACGACAATAAATATTAATCATGAATATATTTTACTTATTTTGCTGTATTTAGTATGTATTCGCATCGAATATAGAAAAAATATTTACACATATTCAGTTGTATTTGCACTGTTTCATGCAGTGTTATTAGAAAACATAAGCGCCATATGTAAGGCACATATGTGTCTAATAGTAGAACCCCATAATTGAAACACTATGAGAGCCCATCCACCAAGATGGTGATCTGAAAATAAAAGTTTTTTCGTTCCCAACTTAATTGTCACTTCTATAATTATACATTTTGACTTTCAATATGAAAATCTCATAAAATCTGACGATAAAGCAAAATTTCCAAAGCTACATGAAAAACACTTACACGTGCCTCTGTAGAAATTCCAATGATAATATGTAGTTTTAATAGTGTATGCGCACAGTTTGTAATTTCTGGCTAAAATAGGCGCGCAGTTTGTGATTTATTTCTTTTTAATCTCCTGATTATCTGTTTTATCTCGAAATCTTTTGAATTATACATGATAAATGTGTTAGGAATTAAATATAAAACGAGTCTAAAGTATTTGTCATTTATGTTTAAAGTGCTTGATCGATTTACGTATAAATTCCCGTTAAATCAGTGACGAAAATGCCATTAATCTGCTTATGTTTTAAAACTTAGATTCATTTGCACATAGTTTTTGCTAGTATTTGCAAGATTCGTATATTCGCCACAGAATGAACGCATTGAACAAGAAAACAATGCAGGATAAATGTCTTTAAATTACGTTTCAAAATACAGACTCCAACTTAAATGATGCAATGTTCTTAGGCACGCAGTTTGTGATCGAAAAAAATGCGCGCCTAAGTAGGCGCGCAGCTTGACATGGGCACCGTGGGGTATGTGATTTAGAATTTTGAATCGATTCAAAATTCGATGGCGACTATACTGTTCTGTAATTAGGTCATGATGACCTTCTAAGGGATGGTTTATACTACGTTGCACACCGACGTGGTGCGACCTGAACGAACTGCGAATGAGATGGACGTATTGAAGACTGTTTATGAACGAAGTAGCTTATTATTTTAGACATACATCCCGACCGCAGCCAGATGGAGCCCGTTTTACGACATTTTCGTAGGACTGGCAAGAACGGGTAAGAACTAGTTTGGTGTGATAGGGGGGTTAGTCGCCAAACAATCAAATTTGGCTTTTACCTATTTTTGAATAGTCCATCCTCCCAACGAACATCGTTTTATTTGATAGAAGCGGTGCAGTCTCTCTGGCATCTATTACTTTTACAACGCCGCTTTCTGAGTCCTTTAGTAACATAAACAAACCACCTGGGCGTTGAGAAATAAAGTACATTTGATGGAGCGATAGACCTCGGTGCGCAAAAATATGAGTCGTTGTACACTGATTTGTATGAAAGTAAATTGTACTAACTAAAACCATAAACAGAACAGCTGACCTGGGCGTTGTGGAGAAAACTACATTTGATGAAGCGATAGACCTCGGTGCGCTAAAACGGGGCTAAAACATAGTGATTTGACACTGATTTGTATGAAAGTAAATTGTATAGTAACTAAAATAAAACATTTCTAAAGCTACTCTACTGTCACTGGCAAGGTTACAAAGATTCAAAGTCGATGAAGGGAGATATTGAATTGCAAGGAATATACCTTTAAACTAGAAGCTGAAATCATACGTACCACCAAGCCCTGTGACTGGGGGTTTAACAACACCCATACAAAAGGTTGTAGCGATAGCACCATCAACGGCATTACCCCCTCTCTTTAATATATTTCTGAAACAAGTATTTGACAGTTCTGATGCAATATCACCAAAAACTGACAGTGATTGGGTACATCCACCTACTAACATAGCCAGTCAAAAACTGAAACAGTATGCCCAATGAAAATTAGGATAATATTACGATGGGACAATGGCCAATATGACCCCGGAGAATCTAAGCTTGTCACAAGATAAATGGGTGGGCACTTCGGGGCGGATCTGAAAATCAAGAGGGAGAGTGGCCAAAAATGTTTCTTAAATTTTGGGCTCCGGATCTGAAAATTTGAACCCTAATTCGTAAAAATGTGTTCAACATTAGAAAATAATGCCCATTAATGCCAGTTTGGTACATAAATTGCTCAATTTATGTGAGAAGAATATTTCCGGCCCTAAATGTTTTTGGATAACCTCAATTTTTTCTGAACCCGGGGGATGGCTGGGCACCCCCAGATCCGTACCAGTGCACTAGGCTAAATTGATACCCAACACAAAAAGGATACGATGAGCATACATATGATTTTGGTATGTCTAAGGTGAAACCTAATAAATGCCTTAAATGCAAACATGTAGACCTAAAATGAAATTGAATAGACATACAGCAAGTTGTGAAACACGCAGTCGGAAACGTGCGATCTGAATCGTTCACAAAACACTAACGTTGATGAACATGTGATAGAGTAATGCTTATTAAAATTAAGAATATATTAGATATTTTAAGGAACATTAACATACATTATTATTGAAAGCAAAAACTCGTATTACCGTTTATGACCTATTGAGATGTTCAATGAAAAAGGTGTCAAGAGTACTCACCTACCAACTTTAGAACATTCGGCCACGTCAGAGGTCACAGCGGCGTGTTTATACCTTTTTGGACCAGCGATCGATGGTCTCGTCGGTCGTGGATACGTGGATCCTTTAAAAAAGCTTGCATCATCTGTATCAACATGTGTTGCCATGGTGATGTTGTTTTCTAGTGTCATCCATGTTGCTATGGTGACCGACCAGATTGAGATTCCAATGATCAGCAGGATGACGCCAAGCACTGATATCAGAAGAATAATCAGCGAAGTGGTACGCCTGCATTAATGATGTAGGTTACATGTATATCTTATCTCATACATGGAAGTACTGGATAAAGTTATGAATTGGCATTCTGAATGACCTGTAGCCTAGACCTGTAGCCTAGACCTGTATTTTCTTCAATCTACGTGATGTTGAATTAACGATTTATATATTTTGATAAAAGTACAGTAAATTAAAGAAATTAACTTTACAACCTACTTTGTGTTTGTAGACATTTTGCTATATAAAGGGTGTCAAATAAATATGTTCTCCCTCCTTGATTTCAAGAGTATTATGTATTATGCTAGTCATCAAAATCCTCGTGTAGAGTTGCTCCATGAAACCTAGTTTTAATGTTTTAAAAGAGCTAAGCCAAGTGTAAATTTTAATAGGACAATATATCAACCCTGATATAATTCAAAAAACGGCTGTAAACATTACCTTCAGTTGGAAACCAAGGTCGCATAAAATACATCTTGATCTCATATTTTCATAATAGAGAGATTTCGCAACTCACTAGCCTTGCCCCAAGTCGGTCTCTTTTACTTATCTTGATTTCTATTTTGACCGCCTTGTACCAAAGAGAAAGCCACGTGCTTTACCGACAGTTTGTTTATGTCGGTGATTTTGACCAATAGCACGCGATCTTTCAATGTCTAAATTTAGGTTACAAACACACGAGGTAATACAGTTGTTGATTTTGCTCCAATCAGCAAGTTAGTATCGGAACCTTTGATAGTGGCATTGTGGGAAGTCCTACCTCGCTTTACTTTCATCAGCTAGCAAAACTGAAAATGACCCTCGCAAAATCGATAAACGTTTTATTTCACACTACCCTACCTCGATAGCGCATGCGCGAATTTTTTGGCTTTCAATCAGGTCGCTTTTGAGTATATCGACTGCTTAGTGAAAAGGTTAATACGTTTGGTGGTCGGAGTGAGTCAATATTGCTATTCGCTGAACGTCAGTGGTGCAATAGTGAAGTCCATGTTCCAAGTTATATGATAGTTGAAGAAAGAATGTAAATAATATCGTTTTAAATTTTAAAATATTTGATATGTCATAGTACACGGTACACAGCTGCAAAAGTTGATCAATACAGGGTACAAGGATTGTAAATTGTTCAATAGTACAGGGAGCGAGACAGTAAGCTGATTATACAGACATACTATGTCCCGATCTCATGTATATTTACGTTGCAAACAGTGAAAATAATGCTAAAAAGGCCGCCTGTTGATGCTTTGAGGTGTCATCAATTGTTATTTAATCCAAATAAAGTAAAATTATTTAGTAGATTTAGACACGGGCTTTCAGGTCGTATATGCATTTTAGTCATTAAATTAACAAGAACGCTAGATTATACGTGTTACTAGGGTATCAAATTAAAATAAAATAACGAAATTAAATATAAACACGTAAGTGATAAATGACTATCGGCTATCAGGATTAATGACTATCCGCTATTCAGAATAATTAAAATTGCGTGAACTACATGTAAAGAATCTTTCTATATAACCCCTTGAATGGTCTAATTCACTAACGTCCTCAAAAACCGATCATTTAAAATAGTTTGTTCAAAATACCATCATGCCACGACATTTTGTTCTTCACGATTTGCTGTAGAGGTGATATGACGTCGTATTTCTCTATTATTGTAAAAAACTAATACCAGATCGATGTTGTCTTATATGACGTGTTGAATGTCAGATGTTTTTGGATGGTATCTGCTCCAGTGATTTTGCATTTAATCATGAAACGCTCATCACAAGACACCTCGAAACAAACATTATCCTCCTTGTGACAAGAGGAAAAATGTTTCACAATATGTTATGCCTTACGGCGAAGTAAAGATACATTTCTGGGACGACTTTTTTGCATCTTAAGATTTTAGAAAAACAATTAATTCACAAAAGTACAGTTGAATAACATACTGGAAAACGTATCCACATATAACACGATGACACGCAGTTTAAATAACAGTTTACTGGGGTTTTGTTACATATCAATGTAACATTTTCGAAGGGAAACTTACATGCTCCCTGTACGTTGACAGATTTACTGAAATGTATCGTGTATTGCATTGAGTTTTGCTTCACTGCGCCGACTATTATCTATCTTTGCCTATAGTGTTTTTTTGCCAACAATATTCTACAAACTGCTTGATGAATCAATTCTATGTCTGGTAGAACACTAGAAATAAATGTAAAATGTATTTTACGTTCAGAAATATGGAATTAAACCCACGTCCTCCATTTGCAACTTAGCTGTACCCTGTTTCCCTTTTAAACGTGGTCACGTGGTAGGGTAGTGTGTATTTGCCAAATATAAGTTTTATTTATATTCGTTTGAGTGTAACGAATTAGAATATAAATTATTTCTACATATTACTACAGAGTGTAGCTTTAAGCGTTACGAAAATCGAACGCTATTTTCGAATGCGAGTAGAATATGAGTGAGTGAATAGGTGTGTAGTGTTTAGGAGAGACGAAATCATTCTGGCTACGTCATCTATACAGTGAACACCTTATCCATATTACACGTGGACATTACACAATGGACCCAATAGACATGAGTCAACCAGCATCACTACAAAGTGTTAGCACCTTGCTTACCCAAGAATTTGGGAAATTCCGAAAGCATTTGCGAGAAGAAACAGAGGAAAACAACGCTAAATTGCTAAAAAAGATGAAAACAGACGAAGAAAACAGTACACCATACGTGTTCAAGAAAAAGGGCAACAAAATTCAACACGAGTTTAATCTTAAGGTGAAAGCCTGCTTCCAGACTACTACAGACGCACTAGAGCGCGCGAGCGAAGCTGACCCCGACAAAGTGAACGATTTATTGCAAGAGGCTCACGACTCGGCTATGAAAGGTTTTGATTTTCTTACATATAGAAATAAGTTGGTAAAACTAGCTGATACATCCGACGCAGGATGGAAAACTGTAGATGAATACGATAAAAAGCCATTGGCTAATGACAGTGACGATGATAAACGGATAAGAACAGCCGATCAAGATGCAGTACGCAAAATGAGATCGTCAAATCGATACCGTTCTTCTCGTAGATTTTCTAGTTTCAGAAGTCGCAGAGGCCAATACAGAGATGATCAACAACGCGACAGCTACTTCAAGCAGGGGTACAGTTACGCATCAAATCGCGGATATGGGTACGAAGGACGCTATTATCCACGTGGAGCAAGCAAGTTCAGACCAGGTGGTTGCTGGGCGTGCGGCGAAATCGGGCACTGGGCAGACACGTGTACCAAAAAGAACCAAACAGAATCCAGTCGTTAGTCGTAGCACAGTAGAAAAGTTAAGTACAAACACTTCTGAAATCTTGAAAGACCTGGGAAACAAAATTCATGTAAAGGGTAATTTAAAGAGGCATGCACAGTTTTGGTCACATATAAATGCAAACAGTTACGTTTTAGACATCGTAAAAAACGGTTATAAAATTCCTTTTAGAGAAATTCCGACAAAAGCGTTTTTGAAAAACAATAGGTCATCTCTAGAAAACACAGAATTCGTGGTAAAAGCTATTCAAGAATTAGAATTACTGGGGTGTGTAAAGGAAGTTCAAGAAAGACCATGGGTCGTTATTCCATTAACAGTAGCAATCAATTCGAAGGGGAAGAAACGTTTAGTTTTAGACATGAGGAACACAAATGATTACATTTCCTTAGACAAATGCAAATACGAAGATTTATCAACCGCAAAAAATTATTTGAAACAAGGCAAAAAGTTAATATCGTTTGATATCACTGCGGGATATCATCACATTGATATTTGCGAAGCACATCAAACCTTCCTGGGGTTTTCATGGGAAATTTGTGGAATACAGAAGTTTTACAAATTCACAGTACTGCCATTTGGTATTTCAACGGGAGGTCTCGTTTTCACAAAATTGATGAAAAGTTTGGTTTCACACTGGAGATCATTGGGGCTTCACATTGTAGTATTTCTTGACGATGGCCTATGTGTATCAGAAAACACAGAACAGTCTAGAGCAAACGCATTTCGCATTCAAGCAGACCTAAAACATGCTGGGTACATAATCAATGAAAAGAAATCTGAATTTGGGCCTAAAGATTCATTGATATGGTTAGGGTTCGAGCTAAACATGAATGACGGAAAAATCTATGTCCCCACGGAAAAAATTAGCGATTTGAAATCAAAAATTGTCAATTTAATGAAACAAAGATTCGTAACCTACAGACAAATAGCCGAAATAGTAGGCAAAATCATGTCTATGATGCATGGTATTGGCAAAATATGTCAACTAATGACAGTAGGCATAACAAAATGGGAAAACCGCACAATACTGTCAAATTCAGATATTGCAGAACTAGAATTTTGGTTGAATGAAATCGAAAAGTATAACGGCGTCGCGTTAATCTCATACACCGTGCCAGAGAAATTCGTGTATTCAGATGCATCAAGCACTGCAGCCGCGGGCTATGTGGTAGAACTAGAATCGAACAAACAACAACCTTGTTATCTAAAATGGTCAGAATCAGAAAAGCTCAAAAGTTCAACTTGGCGTGAAATGAAAGCAGTAGAAATTGTTTTGAAATCTTTCAAACATAAAATTGAGGGCAAGTCGGTAAACTGGTCAACAGATAACAAAAATGTTTGTAGCATAACTAGCAAGGGTAGCATGGTCAAAGAATTGCAAACTTTAGCATTGAGCATTTTCCAAGAATGTATCAAATCAAAGATTGACATGGTCTTTCAATGGGTACCTAGAAATCAAAATCAAGAAGCTGATTTAATGAGCAAAATGTTGGATCCAGATGACTGGGAAATACAGCCACATATTTTCAAATTATTGAATAGTAGATACGGACCTCATACAGTCGATCGTTTTGCTAGCATAGAAAATACACACTTAGAGAGGTTCAATTCAAAATTCGCACAACCAAACGCGGAGGCAGTCGATGCTTTTAGTTGTAATTGGGAAAAAGAAAATAACTGGTTGGTACCTCCAATACAAGATTTAGGAAGAACGATAAAGCATTTAATAGCATGTAGAGCAATGGGCACATTGATTGTACCGTGTTGGAAATCATCGTATTTTTGGCCACTTATTTCCAAAGCTGGCAATTTCAAAGTTATAGTCGTGGATCACGTTGAATTTGGGAATC